ACTGTACAGAGGGGTTACAATTACATGGGCAGGATAATGCATACATTTCTTACCAAGCATTGCAGCCTCCTCCTTTGTTTACCCTTCACATCCCTTCCCAGCCTTCCCCCTCCCCCCCAATCCTTCCTCCACTCCGCGCCCCCCCCCCCCCCCGCACCTACGTTGTAAAGCTCTTCTTGACATGACAACTTGTACTTCTCATTGTTGCAACAGGTCCACCTGAATCCTTAAACGACTTGTTTTTCCCCATCTCCTACACAAGTTATACTGACATCAAATATAGTGAAAGCAGGGGTTATACTGTGGGGGAGGGACATACAAAGCAACAAAGAAATAAGGCACCAATGGCTACAACTTCTAAGTCTACCTAATTGAGGGTTGAGAATATGTGGTTTGAAGGCCATCCTGGACAAAAAGTTCACAAGACCCCTTCTAAGCTGATAGTGCTGGACACAATGCTGTGTAGCTTTTATCCTAAGCTATGGAATGGGGTGAGATTTTGAGGATTTCATTTCCAATTGTGTTGTTTTAAATTCATATTCACCTTTTGCTGCCACCTGACTGTTACTCCAAGATGTGGTCTTTAGCTGCTTCTTTCCTTGAAAGTAGAGGCAGGTCTTCAACCACTGAATAGGATGCATAGCCCTTCTTGCCTGCTATTCATGGAGTACAGAAGAGAGCTACAAAGCAAAATGCTACCTTTAAACTGTATTCAGATGCAGAGAAGAATGTTAAGAAATGTCTACTTTGGGGATAAGAGACTTCAAACTCAGAAGCTATTTAGAAAAAACAGGCAGGTTCAATTCTGTGTGCCCTGAGATTCAAGGATCTACTCCATCCACCCACAGTTTGGAGTAATGCTTTGTGCTTTGTGACTAGACATCACTTTTATATTATGCAAACACTCCCCATCTGATCAGAAAGAACATCCATTTCAGCCTTGGAAGGGAACCTGTTTCTGTGTGAATTAATCTGTCCTCAAACAGTGAGAGATGGGGCTGGGTGTGATGACAGAGTCTACAGGACAGTGTGCCGAACCTGTGGTCCAATCATGGTCCTCACCTCACCCACATCTGCCAACAGGGGATGGCAAAGAATTCCTTCAACAAGTAGTTTTCCAAGGCACAGGAGGTGCAGCAGCCAGACAGTGTCGTGGCCCCAAACAATAGCACTTGGCAACACAATAGACAGTACAAGGCAGTGAACCTGCCTCAGACTTTTTTTTTGGGGGGGGGCAGTCGTGGGGCCTGAACTCTGGGCCTGGGTGCTGTCCCTCAGCTGTTCAGCTCAAGGCTAGTGCTCTACCACTTCAGCCATAGCACCGCTTCACGCTTTGTTCTTTTTGCTTATGTGGTGCTGAGGAATTGAACCCAGGACCTAGTGCATGCAAGGCAAGTGCTCTAACACTGAGCCACCTTTCCAGCCCCTGCCTCAGTCTTTTCCTTAATGATGGCCAGATCCTAGGTACTCGGGGACACATGCTTTTGGAAATAAAAAACAGGATTATGAATTTGAAGCATGTCAGAGGCTACATTGTGAAAATGATACTTTCTATTTTTATTTTTTAATTTTATTTTATTGTAAAGATGCTGTAGAGCAGGGTTACAATTACATGATTAAATCAATGAGTACATTTCTTGTGGAGCATTGTTACCCTTTCTCTTACTGATCTCCCACTATCCCTTCCTATTTTATATTATTTATATTTTTTATCCTTATGCTTGTTCAGCTTCCTTGCTTGTCTGGTCCTCTATATGAGCCACACCTCCAGTCCACCTTCTTGAATGTTAGTTGGGATTTGATCATGATCCTTGAGATCTCCAGACTCCTGTATGGTTAGACATATTGTCATGAGAAACTGATTTCTAACAAGTGTTTTCATGATTATATTTTCATTCTATGAGCTCATCACGAATTTGTACAGCTTCTTCATTTTGCCTTAGTCCAAGTTTCCATATTGGATAATTACAGTATTAATAGTTGCAGCAACCATAACAACATTTCACAATTTTAGTGTTCAGAGTAGCAGATAGGAATTGTTTTGTCATATATTTGATTGCTGGAAGGGGAAATAATGTATCTGTGAAGCTCTGACAAAGTAGCCTGTTCTTCAGATGGTTTTAATGAAAGTCCAGTGAAATTTCAGCCATTGCATTGAGACAAATGAACAGTGATCTACTCTTGTGTTTCAATCTGGGAAATCTGCATTTCAACTATGGACTCCTTGTTGTGGGTGCTCTACATACAGCCTGGGATGAGATGAAGTAAAGTTCTCACTAAGAGCTACACACCTTGACAAGATCACATTTTGCTCTCAGAAAATTAGTCATTCTGTTCCATTGTACACAGAGAAATAGAAAGAAATATGTGATTAAGTTCCCAATTATCATGAAGAAAAAATGTAGGTTTACTAATTATATTGTAAAAATAATTCCAAGGAGTTTTATATTCACATTTTTAGGTATAAACATCTCTGCTGTTATCCAATTTATTTTTTTTAAATGTTATGAGCTCACTAACTGTAAGAAATGGGCTTTTTCCTCTGTGTCTATTTTTTCAGCCATGATCACTCTGATTAGTTTATTAGATCCAATAACAACATTTCTATTATTTTTGGTAAATTTTATTTTATTGTAAAAATGCTGTACAGAGGGCTGACATTTACATGAGGAAGGCAGCGAGTACATTTCCTGTTCAGCATTGTTACCCTTTCCCTAGTTGTTCTCCCTCTATCCCTTTCCTCCCCCACCACCCTCACCCCTTCACCCTCCCCTTCCCACCACCTTCCCTGAAGTTGTAAAGTTCATTTCCAATATACTCTCTTGTGGATATGTTGCAATGTGTCATCCTATGTCTTTGTTTCACAATTTTGTTAGTCCTCTTCCCCTCCCCAAATTAGATAGATGCAAGTATCAAAATCAGGTACAGTAACAACAAGGGATAAACCATAGTTGGAAGAACATACAAAGGAAACAAAATGATCACATAGTACATTAAAAATAACAACAATAAAGAAAGACCTCTTGTGTTCATATCTTGGGGTTCATTTCACTTAGCAACATGTTATATGGTCATATGTACATAGCTTTTGAGCTTTTTCTGCTCATCTGATAAAATTGTTCTATAAATACACTCATTGTTGTAAATGAGGGAAACTGTGGGACCTATATTTCCTTTGGTCTGGCTTACTCCACCTTAGGTCTCTGGGACTGACTGTCTTTTTTTGCCAGTCCTGTACTTGAACTCAGGGCCTGGATGCTATACCTGAGCCTCTTGTGCTCAAGCTTAGTGTTCTACTACTTGAGTCACAGCACCACTTCTGGCTTTTTCTGTGTATGTGGTACTGAGGAATTGAACCGAAGACTTCATGCATACTAGGCAAGCACTCTACCACTAAGTAACATTCCCAGCCCAGAACTGACTGTCTTATTTCACAATTAGTTGGTGAGTCTCTCTCTATCCTCATATCCACTCTTCTTCCAAATTCAACTGAGAGTTATTCCTCTAATTGTTCTTTTCTCAAACCCACGTCAGAGAATGATAATCTAGAGAACTTGTCTGCACCAGGAGTGCATGTTTACCATAAGCCAGGTCCAGCATCAAAGCTCTACTCATTATGTGGTGGGGGAGAAGAAAACATGAATTTATTTCTATACTCTGCTTTGCTCCAATAGTGTGTGAAATAGTTCAGTGAGCAGGGTTGCTATAGGAACCTGTCATGTAGGGCCTGGTACAGATGGACTCTGACTTTGTCAATGCCTGGTCTGTGAGCTACCGGCCTTTGGGGAGCAGTGTTATCTTGGTGCACCTGTAGCAACTGCTTGGACTCACAATAAGATGGTGGATTCATTGTCAAGCAAATGTCCTGTCCGTGTCTTTCCAGTTGTGACATCCAGCATTAGGGTGAACAGCTTCCTCACATGCTGGACTCCACGTGGGAGACTTCCTCATCGTACTCTGGATTCATCACCTGTGGCATTTTCCCTTGTCTTCTCTGGGCTTTGCAGCTCCAGTGTCCCACTTCACACTTCATTATGCTACATGTCATCCTTTCAGAGCTTGCTTATATCATTAACTATGAGTTCAATCACTGAAAACTTATTTAATTACAAATTCCATTAAATGGGAGGTGCTGTAGGAATTTACAGTTTTAAGAGGCAGAGTAAATTGAAGCTTAGTTCAGCCTTGGTTTAGGGAATAGCTCAGGTTCTGAGGAGGAATAACTTGGATTAAGAACAATAAGGCATGAATGTCATCAAGATTTTAGGAGACTTGCAGCTCAGAAATGTACAATGATAATAAGGTTATGCCTGTAGCCAGGTTCTTTCAGTATACAGAGAGCCAATGTCTGATGTTAAGTCTACTGGATGATGGAGGTGGGAAAGTGCATTCAGAAACAGAGGACAGCAACCTGGAGTTGATAGCAAAACCCAAAGGCTAGCCTGTACATTGTACACCATAGTACAATACTGCACATACTTGAATTTCATACTTTTCATTGTCTTTCATTAAGTCTTAATTGATACTTGTCTATCATCTTTTTATTTAACTATCAATCTCTCTATCAACCTACATACCCAAGTAGGTTGAGTAATTGAATAATTGTGTCCATGATTAACAAACGGGTTCAAGGAATCCACAGACTTAGAAAATCTGATCTAAATGATTAATTCTACATTTTGGAACCGGGTTTGCTTGAAAAATTGACTTAGATAAAATGCTATCATGAAAAGCCTGTCATGACCCATGCATAAATTAAAGTTCATTGTAGTTAACCAGAGAGACATTCTGTCCGCTGAGCCCCAGAGAGAAACACATTCTCTTCAGGCACAACAGTGCTACCCTGGTATGTTTTTTTGTGTCTGGGATATCATGTCTGGGCTGAGATACTGAAATCTGCCATGCTGGTACAGCTGTGCTGGCCTTTCCCACCCCTACTGATTTGCATGTGCCCAGAGCACAGCCCACTGCCCTGAGCAGTTCTTGAAAGCTGCTCACATCCTGGACAGGAGTCAGTCCTAGTCAGCACACAGCATGGACATGAAGGTCCCTGCTCAATTCCTGGGGCTCCTGCTGATCTGGATTACAGGTAAGGAAAGACAACGCTGAGAATCTCCTCAGTCAGCTATAGTCAGTGATGCTTGGCTGTTTATGAAGCTTTCTTATAACATGCTTGATTCTTTGTATAATTACTTTTCCCATGGCAGGTACCAGATGTGACATCCAGATGACCCAGTCTCCATCCACTTTGTCTGTATCTCCTGGAGACAGAGTCACCATCACTTGCCGGGCCAGTCAGGGCATTAGCAATGTGTTAAGCTGGTACCAGCAGAAACCAGGGGGAGCACCAAAGCTCCTGATCTATGGTGCAAAGTATTTACAATCTGGGATCCCCTCCAGATTTAGTGGCAGTGGGTATGGGACAGAGTTCACTCTCACCATCAGTAGCCTGCAGCCTGAAGACATTGCCACTTATTACTGTCAACAGTATTATGATAACCCACCCACAGTGATACAAGCCATAACATAAACCTCCAAGAAGCAGAAGTGAGAGCCTGGGTTGCCTCAGCTCCTTTCTTCATGTTTCCTCTTGTAAGAGCTGTCCTAGAATCATAGGACAGGGATGCTGCCCAGGCTAACCTGGACAGTGAACTTCTGTGTCTCAATCTTTGGAGTAAGTGTAATTATGTTTGTGCAATACTGGCACTGGGATGAATGTTGAAATATTAAAATTATTTCCAGAATATAAACATGGAAATACTCTGCCTTTATTCAGGTTTCTTTTCATCTTGCATAGATATTCACAATGTGCACTGGGACACTTCAAAGTTCTTTCAAAACTTTTATTTTGAGATTTTTTAAATACTTTATGCAAAAATTTCATCAGCAAGTAAAGACAGCTTGCCACCTCATTTTTCTGCTTCATATCTTTTATGCTTTTTTCCAGTTAGTTTTAGCTTTTCTTCTTGCATTTGGAGAACCTCAGTACAATTTGAGGTACAAAAGGTAATAGAGAGCTGGGTGCTGGTGTCTCATGCCTGTAATCCTAGCTACTCAGGAGGCTGAGATCTGAGAATCACGGTTCAAAGCCAGCCCGGGCAGGAGAGACCGTAAGACTCCTATCTCCAATAAACCACCAGAAAACCGGAAGTGGCGCTGTAGCTCAAGTGGTAGAGTGCTTGCCTTGAGCTGAAGAGCTGAGGGACATCGCCCAGGCCCAGAGTTCAAGCCCAAAGGCCAACAACAACAAAAAAAGGTAATAAAGTACATTTCATTCTGTAGATGTTGCTTATGATTGCTAGAAGTGACTTTTTGGCCACTGAGGAAGATCTAACAAAATATATGTCAGAGGAAAACTGAGTGACCTGCAACACAAGAGTTCCTGTCAGATCAACAGTCATTAAAAGTTTGAGTAGTCGTGAGCTGGTGACTCATGCCTGTAAATTCTAACTACTCAGAAGGCTGACATCTGAAGATGTCAGCTGGAAAGTCCATGAGACTCTTATCTCCAATTATCACTGGAAAACCAGAAGTGGAAATGTGGCTCAAAGTGGAGAGTGCTAGCCCTGAGTTCAACCTCCATGAATGACCAAAACAGTATGAATTGCTAATGAATATAAGTACTTGGGTTGTATGCCAAAAACTTTTCAAGTAATTCATTGCACACTATTTTTGTTAAAAACCAATTGCTTCAATATAGTAATCACAATAGGGAACAGGAGAAATAAAAAAAATCTACAAAATATATGAATAAATAGATTACATTTTAGTTGATTTATGGAAACATGCAAGGAATAGTAAGTACTATTACCCATATTACAGAAATATATAATGTAATAGTAATGTATGGTAATATATAAATGACTTTATATGTACAATGAAGACTTATCAAATATCATTAAGTTCACAGTTAAAAAATGAGTGGCATATGTCCCTATGGGTAATATGTTTTAAAATATGCATATAGATTTATTTATGGTTTATGGTTTATTTTTTACTTATTTATTTGTTTGTTTATTTATATGTGTGTATATTTATAAATAGGAAGAGAAGGATGCATCATGTGCAGATATACACACACAAACACACATACACAAACACAAATTATGAGGCATCTGATGAAACGTAGCTTAGTTTGTGCAGAGCCTGTCCTAAAGACAGAAATGTAAGAATGTAGAGCATGGAGACTTCTGAGGAAACATATATATTGCTAACCTATATATTGCTAAACAATGTTATTTCTACACTTCCCATTTTTATGAAAAGTTCAAGAAAACATTGGAACACCTTTTGTAGTAGTTGTTCTGCATTGACAAATGGGTAGGATAGGTTGCAGATTAAGAAAGTGTATTTCTGAACCTGTCTGTGAGAAACTCTCTAAAGAGAATTGACTGTGAGAGGAAGATCCACCTCATAGTCCACAGCTCCTTTCAATAGGATGCAGTCTCTTGCACAATACAAGAGTGAGGAGGAGAAAGTAGAACATTTACTCTGCTTCTTGGGTGACATGATATGAGCTCCACTGTACTCTGCCCACATAGCAGAGTAAAATTACCAATCTAAGATTGAAATAAAGAATTCTTCCCTTCAAGTTGCTTTTATTAAGGTCTTGTCACAGCCATTAAAAGCTAAGTACACATCTTTATAAAATGTTCTAACTGGGGCTGGGAAGGTGGCTCAGTGGTAGAGCGCTTGCCTTGCATGCCTGAGGCCTTGGGTTCGATTCCTCAGCATCATATAAGCAAAAAGGAAAAAGCCAGAATTGGTGCTGTGGCTCAAGTGGTAGAGCGCTAACCTTGAGCTGAAGAGCTGAGGGACAGCGCCCAGGCCCAGAGTTCAGGCTCCACAACTGGACCCACCCCCCCAAAAAAAATGTTCTAACTAACTTTGACCAATGATATAAGATGGATGCTGTACTGAGAGCATTTGGCATCACCATCTCTGGGTTGAGAGGGATGGCTATTATTTGTAATGGAACTTTGGCAATTTGTTAGATAACAATATGGTGAGGTAGATTTTTTTTTTAAAGAGGGTGTATAAGTGTGGGAAAATAAGTTTGTAAGCAGAAGGTGTAGAATAACATACCCAACTCATCTATTTAGCCTCAGTAGGATGAGATGTGGTGTGAATAAGGCACGAGAGCTACAGGCCAGGAGGTGGGTTCAGAACACTGGTATCTGGGTGCCATATTCTTGGGGTAGGAAGAGAGTGGCAGCTCTTCTCTGCAGGAGGCAAATGAGTATAGAGCAAGGTTTCCCCCTACAGGCTCCATGTACAACTGCACCCTTAAAACTGAGTTTCTAGACCCTTTGCCTTATACTTCTCAATAGTTTGTGAACAAATCCACATCCCATGATAAGTCCATTGGCACTGAGTGAACTTGACATCTGTAACTAAGAACAGTGATGAATTCACACAGAGAGTAACAGACTCCTTTTCTTCTAATTATAATACTTTCCCAGCACACTGGCCTCAGGAAGTCAACACTAGTAACCTTGTAAGTCATTGGGACTAAATGGCCAATAGACATAAAAGAAATGCAAAGCAAAACAACATTGAGATTCCCCTCACCCCAGTTAGAATGGCTATCACCAAAAACTCTAATAAAAGTAGATGCTTGAGGGGATGTGGACAGAATGGAACCCTACTGCACTGTTGGTGGGAGTGTAAACTTGTTCAACCACTTTGGAAAGTAGTATGGAGGTTCCTCAAAAGACGCCACATAGAGCTATCCTATGACCCAGAAGTCCCACTTTTGGGCATTTACCCAAATGATCACAAACCAGACCAAACTAAAACTACCAGCACAACTATGTTTATTGCAGCACTATTTACCATAGCTAAAATATGGAACCAACCCAGATGCCTCTCAGTAGATGAATGGATTAAGAAAATGTGGTATATTTACACAATGGAATTCTATGCCTTCATCAGAAAGAATGACATTGCCCACTTTTTAGGAAATGGAAAGATTTGGAAAAATATATTAATATATATTATAAAATATATTAAGTGAAGTAAGCCAGGCCCCAAAACATAGGTCCCATGGTTTCCTTTATTTGCAATAACTAGTATATATCTGAGACAAGCAGAAACGGTCAGATAAGTTGATGTTAGGCAAAATGAAGCCCAAGATAAGGACTCAAATGTTTTTTCTTTCTTGCTATTGTTTCTAACATATGTATGAGAAATTTCTTCGTTGATTTGTAAGGTCCCTCTCCCATGGTATTATCCCTGTGTTCACTGTATTTGATTTTGGTATATTTTGTGGAGGGGAAGGGAAAAAACAAATTGTTTAAGTAGGGATACAGGTGGACCCACTGCAAAAATGAGATGTATAAGATATTATGTCGAAAAACAAACTTTACAACTTTGGCGCAGGGTGGGGTGAGGGGTGGCGATGGAGGTGGTGGAGGAGATGGGAAGAGATGTTAAGGGAAACAAAGCAGGAGGTAACAATGCTTGATAAGAAATGTACACATTACCTTGACCATGTAATTGTAAATCCTCTGTATGGTATTTTCACAATTAAAAAAAAAAAAGAAACAACGACCACAGGGGGAACCACTGGTTCTCCCCATCTGCACCATGTCATGCATGAACAGTGATAGATTTTTCTTTACAGCTTAAGCCCTCCACATGCCATGGGACCTATGTTTCATTTTGCCTGGATTACTTAATTTAATATAATTTTTCAAGCCTTTCAATTTCCTCACAAATGGGGCAATGTCATTCTTTCTGATGGAGGCATAGAATTTTATTGTATACATGTACCACATTTTCTTGATCCATTCATCTATTGAGGGGCATCGGGATTGGTTCCATATCCTAACTATGGTAAATAATGCTGTGATAAGCATGGTTGTTCTGGTAGCTTTCATATGACCTTGTTTGTGATTGTTTGAGTAAATGCTCAAAAGTGGGATTGCTGAGTCATAGTGAAGCTCTATGTGGAGTCTTTTGAGGAACCTCCATACCGCTTTCCAAAGTGGTTGAACAAGATTACACTCCCACCAACAATGGAGTAAGGTTCCCTTCTGTCCACATCCCCTCCAGCATCTGTTGTTATTAGAGTTCTTGATTTTAGCCATTCTAACTGGAGTGAAGTGTTATCTCAATGTTGTTTTGATTTGCATTTCTTCATGTGTCTATTGGCTATCCTTCTTTCCTCTTCAGAGAAGTTTCTCTTTAAGTCTTTAGCCCACTTATTTATTGGGCAGATGTTTCTTTGAGGATTTGTTGTTGGGGGATTTAATTTTTTGAGGTCCAAGTATATTTTAGATATGAGACGCTTGTCCGTTGTATGGCTAGTGAAGATCTTCTCTGTATTGGGAAATTTTTACATTTATAAATGTCATCATAACACTGGGATCTGGGTGTTCATGGTTCTTCAGCCTTAGATCAGATATAATATGGGAATCATCTTATTGTTCTGCAGGGCAGCCACACAGAAACCCTTTCAGC